CCCTGGAGAATGAATTTTCTTTTTATCTATAGAACTGCTATAGCATGGACAGCCACAGCATCGGTTTCCAAATAACACCTCATCAAAGTTTCCCAATCATGTTGCGTCAGTTCAAACCCTGATCTTATGTGATCTTAATGCTAGCATAAATTATTTTCACTTCCGTAAGAGTGAGCAAGAGTGAGAGAGAGGGGGAGAGAATGTGTGTATCTCATGAATTCTGGGACTGAAGTATGCACAAAGCCTCATTTGTATACCATGAGTAAGATCCTGGTCCCACTGAAGTCACATAGAGTTTTGCCTTTTATGGAAGGATGGAAGATGGGAACAAGGATTTGGCAGGTCTTGTGGAGCACAATGTTTTTGCAGTTTTTCTAGTGGGTCTTTCCAACTTTTCAGCTGACTGCACTATGCATACTACTGAGATGTCCAAAGCTTTGTTCTCCTATGATTTGACAAACGTTTTAAAATTTTTGGGTTTAGATCATTTACTTATTTTGCCTCTCTTTATCAATGTTGAAGGGAGGTATTGATATGTAGCAGGCTGACTAGACTCTTGAAATAATCTAAACTGCACATCTATTAAATCTACTACAGTAGATTGTTGGAGGTGCTTTGAGATTCTCCTTTAAAACTTTATTGAAGAGTAAATGGTTAACAGTGATTTACCTTTTTTAAACATAGTGCGCAGTTACAAATATGGCCATTTGTGTTAGAACAACTGGATCAATCAATATGGATTGTAAAGAATTCCCATGCAACAAGTACACTCTAAAAAACTTATACTTTTCACTGAAATCTGGAGTTTCATCATGTAGAAAAGTGGTAAATGTAAATGAAAAAAAATACTTTCCTAACTGACAAAATGTGCCAGCATGAGCATCTTTAACTTCCACAAAGCAATTGCAACAAATGGTGAAAACCCCCCAAAATAAACAGGAATGCAAAACAGTAATGTAAGAGGATAAAAGTTCAAAATCTGCATGATAATAAAAAAGCAGATCTTGGCTATTGTGATACTGGTTTATCAATAAAATATTTGTCTGTGTAGTTATAGTCAGAAAATGCTTCCATAGAATGGCTCTTCTAATGTAGCTTATTTAGTGGCTCAGTTATGTACAGACTAAATTTATTTAAACTAAAAAAAAATGGGTTTTTGCTATCAACCCTTCAAACTAAGTCCAAGGAACTGAAAATCAAGCAATGTTCTTTCCTCTCTTACCTCATCACTGGCAACAAAGATTCTACAATTCAAATTTACCAAACAAGATGGTTACTGATACAGGAGTAGTACGTCTTGATCTTTCATGGGTATATGAGCACTTTAGAACCAACAATATTGACAAGAAATGTTTACTAGGGGTGTGCAATGCACGCTCTATTTGATTTGGATTCAGCCCGAATCAGGGACAGTGATTCAATTAATTGATTCGGATCACTGTCCCTGATTCAAATTGGCTGAATCTGAAGATTCGATGCTGATTCAGAGAATCAGTGATTTGGATATAGACACAGCTTTAAAAGCTTTTTCTACATACCTCAAGGTACAAACACAGCTTGTGAATGTTGTGATGCTGCAGTGGATGGAGTATCCCACAGGAGTGTGTGAGGGAAGCGGGGGCCCTCTATGTGCTTGGTGGTGAGCCCAGAAGTTGACTGGAAGTACTTCTGGTCCACTTCCAATTCCGCTGGGGAGTGCACAGGCCTCTCACCTCCGGCTCGGCGATTGACCATGGGGGGACCCTGGGTGCCCCCCCAGACACAGAAGGCACCAGTCACCGAGGCAGGGGGTGTGAGGGGCCCAGTGCGCTCCCCAGTGGACCTGGAAGTGGACCAAAAGTGCTTCTGGTCCACTTCTGGGTCTGCTGCCAAGTGCACTGGTGAGTTCCCTCCACTTCTGTGGGATGCTCCATGCACCCCAGCATTGCAGCATTCACAAGCCACCAGCTACCTAGAGGTAGGCAGAAAAAACATTTAAAGCCGTGGCTACGTCTGAATCTTCAAATCTTTTTGAGTCTCTCCAAATCAATTCAGAGGATTCCAATTTGATCTGGAGAGATTAAAGGATCCTCTGATTGAATTCAGATTTGGAGATTTGGCCACTGAATCGGGCTGAATCTCCGCTGAATTGAATCAGGGACCGAAGTTTGCACAGCCCTAATGTTTACTAAAATAGCCAGGAAAGCTTGAGGATACATAAGAAGTAAGTCTGTTGGGTGATTCAGTACCTAATTTAACAGTCACTTTACTAAATATAATTCCATTTGGAAAAAATCATAGAAGACACTTTAACTAGCATGTAGTGTGTAGGTAAGAAAATATTATTAATAAGAACAAAGGGTTTTTTTAGGGCAACAATACAGCTTATTAATAACTTGGTATTCAAATACAGAAGCAACAACTAGGCAATATATTTGATAAAACTGTCACCTAGAAACACTGCATCCCACCATATTTTGAGGCTTTTACACAAAACCAAGAAGAGATGTATTCACTTCAGGCCAAGCGATCTACAAATTATGTTATGGAAATAAGTTTGCAGCAGCTATCAATTACTTTTTCAGAACAGGACATTGTTTACCTTGCATCTCAAAATGGTGCTCACTACAATGCAGATTAACAACATCTCTAGAAGTGTGTCCCTGTATCAGTATCAAAGTGATTCTTATCAAAATTAGTTCAAACTGTTTCATAAGTATATAAATAATAAGTCTGAAGGAGGAGAAGCACCTCTCCACTGCTATTACAGATTGTTTTGTTAACAAAAACCCTAGTCAGGATTATAGATAATCATTCTTCAGGAGCATGAAGATGGTCAGTAAGAAAAATTTTGAAAGCACCCTATCCAAATGCAACAGGTGTGAGAAGGGAAAAAAGAAAATGTTATTCAGAACAACATGTGCAAAAAAATTGACATAATAAGTCAATCATGGAAGGAGCTATAAATAATGATGAATGTATTTTGAAGGGAAAAAAAGAGAAAATCTTGAAGGAGAGAAGGCCTGTAAGTGTCAAAAATAACTGCCATAATTTCTTAGAGAAAACTGCATGAGGGAGCAGAATCATTCTGGATAAACACACCATAAAGCAATGGTAATATTTGGAAGTTACTATAAAGCCCTCAGGTCAGAAGAATCAGCCCGATTAAGAGCGAATCTCCCTGTATAACCCCAGTCTTCTGATCTTCCAGTCTCACCAGTGACTGTGGTAGCTTTCCATGTCTGCTATGTGAATATAATAGTGAAGTCTGTGTGTCTACTTATGTGACTTTTCACAAATATATTAATATATGTCCACAGTTATGCATTTATTTGAGCAAGTTAGACAGCAGAAGCAATTTTCAAAATTCTATGTTGATAGAGAAAAATAAGTAAAAAAAACTGGAGAAACACAGGTGTGCACAAGGTAAGGTATGGCAGCAGCACGTGTGAAACCAAGCATTTAGGGCCACTTGAATTAAAGAATACATAAAAGTAGGAACAGTTAATGACAGAGACAGTAGGACCTTTATGGGTTTGCCAGGAAAATGCATGAGAGAAGGCAGATATAGGCACAGACATTACATTTGCCTGGAAGGGATAAATAACTGGAAGCCATCAATACTACACCAGATTAAGAAACGAAAACATCCGACAACCTTCCTTCCAGAAACACCCTGAAGGGATCTACTTCAGACGAAGATAATATAGGAACCTTCAAAAGGTATGTTCTTAAAGTATTTGAAAACAGAGTTGTATGCTCTCATCTTAATGCATGAATACATGGACATTAAAATTAGAGAAGCCATTGAGAAGACTAATCAACCAAGGAGAATTAGCTAGCACTGGAGATAATCAGCATGAATTCACAAAAGAGGGATCAGCCTCACAAAGTGGATAGAGTATTTTGAGAACCAATAATGATTTCATGGAGATGCCTGGAGGAAAGAAAATGATCGTCAATTTATTAGACATCTAGCAGAAGTAATAATCCTGTACCATGAAAAAAGGAAATCTGTAAAGTCAATGGTATGACATAAGATGTGATGTCCCCTAAGTAAGGAACCTCCTTGTCTAAAAAGATAAGTTACCCACAAGTCTAACAGTGATTTGAAATCAAAGAGTAAGGTGTAGCAAAAATAACTAGTGCACAACAAGATAACTGTAAGAATTCTTGTCCTGATAGGAGGTAACATTTTCCCCTGTTCCAAAAGTCAGTGGCATGGCAGCCAGTACTAACCAGGAAGGCAATCCATGTCTTATCTTGAAAAGAACAATTATCTTATCTACTCACCTTCCTAACTAATGTGCATTATATTGACATTTGTTGACTGAAAAGGCAAATAAAAATAAAGTATTGTAAATAATTGTCATTATGCAAGGCACATGGATGTAAAACAATGGATTTTTCCTCAAACAGAGAAAATAATAGCACCATTTTAACAGTCAATTATTACTATGGTGCTGTGCTGTAGTACAATGGTAGCAAAATGAGACTGTTTTTCCAGACAGCTGGAATAGTGGCTCCTTGTTGTAATATTGGTGGTATTTCTACCTATTCCTGGTATAACATTTTAAACCTAATGACAATGATACCCAGAACATGTAGTAGTTCTTTATTCAGACATCTGCCCCAAAACATCAGAAAGTCATCAATAGATATAGCTACGATTCTCAAATGAACTGGAAAGAGATAAACAAGTTGGCATATGATGGAAAAGCAATGAGAGGGACATAACTGTTGACACAAATGAAGGGAGTGTGGTATGTGAGTTCCCTTTTTGACTTTTTATCATCCTGAGGTTACAGAACATTAGAGACCTTGTAGCACAGAATGGGAAAAACGAAGGGGCTCCCAAAGTCCGGTATCCCAGTTCAGGCCAGCACATCCAGTGGAATGGTAGAATATGAAGAACCAAGACAAAGCCTTTCCTCATCAAGGGGAACAAGATAGTTAATAATTCTATTTGTTTAACTTCTGACACTCAGAGAACCAAACAAACAGAAATAGGATTTTCCTACCAGCTGATTTGGGAGTGAATTTATCCCTGTTGGCTGCACATACTGCCAGTAGCCTGTAGCCAAGATCCAAGTCAAATCCTTGCTGTGCTGCCACTCGACTAACAACCTGCAAAGGGAAAGAGAAAAGGCTTCAGTATAGGTTATTTTGAGATTCTTGCAAACATAGGAAATGCACAGGAGGCATGGGGGGGGGGAGGGGTATGTGCCCCCCCCGAGATTGGCTGCCGCTGAAGCTGCTGCCGGCTTCCGCAGGCGGTCGCCGTTCGCCTCCCACTCCCCGCCCCCCTCAACACCAACAACACCGCCAGCATCTCACCACTTCCCTGTCTCTACTGCCAACACTGCTGCTGGCATCTGCGGGCGGTCCCTGCTCATCACCACTGACACCACCACTGGTGTCTGCGGGCAGTCCCCACTTGCCGCCACCAAGACCACCACCAGTGTCTGCAGTCTCTGCTTGCCACCGCTGACACCACCACTGGCATCTGCGGGAGGTCCCTGCTTGCTGCTCATCACCCCTCCGCCACTGACACCGCCACCAGCATCTGCAGGTGGTCCCTGCTTACCACTGTCAACAAATGGTGCCTTCCCAGTCTCGGGAGGCATCAATCATTCACATTTGCAAATGTATATTAATTGGCTTATCAGTACAGCTGCTAAACAACTGTGCCTACTACTGGCACACACATATGGAATAGGGTTTGCTCCTGAAGGGATTTAAAACTACACACAGAAATCTGCACTTTTAGTCTATTGTACTGGTTTGCTTATTTAATTGTTTTTTTTTCAGAAAAGGCCTGTGTGTTCCCCCTTGAAAGATAGGTAAGCAAAGCTTTTTTAAAAAATATTAAAGGAACTTCTATGTAAAATAAGCATGACAGGTTTTATTACATTTGAGTCTTCCTCCACTGCACAGACACTAACTATATCATGGCACTATCCTTAACAGTATTTTCCTGGTGTCCTTAAATAAAATATTCTGCCATGTCACTTGTATGCAACATACTATGTTCTCCTAAACTGCTATTTTCCTTGCCAAAGATGGTTGCATTTCTGGGAGGTACTTCGAGATATTTTCAGGATAGAAGGACTCTATAAAAATAGGTTACATAAACATCAGATATTATCCAAACATATCTCAAACATTCACAGGAGACCTTTTGACCTTTTCTGGGGATGGAGAGCCATGCCAGTAGGAATTTAAGTCCTAGTAGAGCTATTCAGGTTGGACAGTGTAAAAGCTAAGCATGTGAGGAGAAGCAGCCTACCGGTCCTCCATGTTGGGAGATTAAATGATAGGCCCATATTCTGTGCTCACAAAGAAGTTAAATTAGAGAAACAACATTGGAACCATTCTGTAAAGTAGCATGACAGACAGGGACAGCAAGGTTTTAATAATGCCCTGGAGTGACATCTGATGATGTAGAAAGACTTCAGATTCAGATTCTGATATGAAGAATTTGAGTACTCCCTACACAAACTAGGTATTTTTATATGATTGTTATTATTTTGTATTGATACAATGCCCAAAGACCCCAGGCAGAAATGGAGTCCAATTTCCTAGGTGCTGAGAGAGACAGTCTGCTGTAAATAGTTTACAAGAAATAAAAATTCTCTTTCCAGCCTTTTCTCAGTCTGAAAGTTCCTTGCTAAATTAAAGACAGTACACATTAGTGTGCAATTATCTGTGTCCAGCACTGGCTCTCAAAAAAAAGCAATGGTATAGAACAGAGTTAGAAACTAAGATACGCAATAAACTATAAATGGTAATGAAATGTACCATTGTGTGTTACCTAGTCAGCACTATCACATGAATCTTATTATTCAAAACTGTTTTCCATTATCTACTTTTTCTAATTAACAATAGAGAATCAGATTTCTTTAAGAGAGAAATGCTATAGAAAATACTGTGGTTTACGAAAAGATTACAGTTGCTGTTGTTTCAGTTAATTTGGAAACTAAGATTTCCAAATCCCTTCCCAATCCCTTCTTAAACTTTCCAGTCTCAAAACTGACAAGCAGAGATCTTCATAAAAAATAATATTTAATATCGGGCAATAAGCACAGGTGAGATCACTGCACCAGCCCAATTATAACCTCTTTAACCGTACAATTAAAATTTATAAAGTGCTTTTTCAATAGGAAGGGTAAAACATTTAAGAGAAGATGCCTTATTATTTCTGATAAATCATAAAACATTGCCAACTCAGTTAATAATCTTCAAGACCTGGTATGTAATAGTACAGTTCTTAATATATTGTCTAGGTTAAGGGGCTTGGGTCCTATCTTACAAAAAACATATACACTGGATGACCTGCCTGCATAAAATTAAGTGCTTGAAAAAATCTTTACATATATTAGCGTAACAACCAGATATTCCATGATATGGGAGCAGTGGGAAGACTAAGCCCCTTCACAGGGGAAGCACAATGCTATTCTGTCAGAGGGCACTGATATTTGGGGATCTAAATATCTGTACTGAGTTCTGCTTTGAATATTACAAGAACCCAGGTACAAGTCTGTTCAGCCATTCATATCACATCAGGTGTATATCAAGAGAGAGAATTGAAGAAAGCAAACGAAAAGCTCTTTCTTAATCTTGCTAAAGGCTCCTGAGAGAGATGTCCTGCAAGTGTGCAAACATAATTTAAACACATTTAGACCTCATCTACTTTTACATCACACTAGAGCTCACTTTAGCTCACTGCTCTCTTCACTTTGATAAGCAGTGGAAGTGCCCCCCCCGCCTTTAGCTTTGTCAGATTATCTGAAAGATTGGTATTTTGAAACTAGATAGGAATGAAAGCAGATACACTCATCAATAAAAACTACTACAAAATGCATGGTATACTTGTACAGTTGGTTCCTTTTAAAGCATGAAGTTATGGACACTTAGGTGCTGCTGGCCAGAGGCCAGGTAAAAACTCTGAACCAGCATCATGCTAATTACGAAACAAGTTCTCTATGATAATTCAGGAAATATAGACAAGCTTGGAACCCTGATATATGAAAAACTGTCTATGATTATTGTGTTTTTATTAGGAAGAGCAGAAAGTCTGGGACAGATTAAATCTTAAGACCACCCAGGGTACAATCTGTTATGCTCTCATTATTTGCAGTGAGTTTTATATATTTAATTTTCTACCAATTACAGGAAATATCATTTGACAATTTGGCATATTCTGAAAATAGCAGCAGAGTCCAGCAATTCTAGGTCTCTAGTTCACCTTTGACAGTTCTTATTTCTCTGCAGTCCTGGATAAACCACATAAACCTACATGGGCCCAACTAAAAAATGGGTACACAGGCAAATACATAAGTAAGAGGAATCTAAAGAACAGAGTAAGCCAGGAAATATTTTTATTCTCCATAAGAAATATAAGGAAAGTACACAGAAAAACCATTTTATTTGTAAGACATGCCGCATTTTCTCAGTTTTTTTTTTAATGAAAACACAACTGGAACACTTTTCCCTACAAAAATCTAACTAAAGGAAAACTAGTCATTCCTTTTTTTTTTGTCTATGTGGCCATTGAAACATTATTCAACCAACTGTACTCAGTAAAGCAATCACCCAAGCTGCCTCTGAAACTAAATCCTGTGCTGGGTTCTGCAAGATTGGCTCCCTTTTGAGTGGGGCTCTGATGTTCTCATGGACTCTTCTAACTTCAATAGGCCATGTTCACACCCCTTTTCAGTGGGCATCTAAGTTAACATGAGTAGAGGCAGCTCATACCTTTCAGTTCTAGGCTCTTTGACAACTGCATTCACTACATGTGGTTCAATTTCTAATGGTTTTCTTTGCAACTCTAACAGCTAGACAGAATTTTTATTTTTAAAATGAAAGCTGAATAGAGTAGGACACACCTCTTTCAAAGACTGTTTTAGACCGCCTAAAAATTCAGGCTGCTACATTGTTTTCACTCCATGTTTTGAAAGGTTCCTTTGTAACCAGAAGAGCTGGAAACATCTTTTATTTTTCAAATGGACAGTAAGATTTTGGGGAACAAGATGCAAACCTCAAAAAGAAGTAGGAACACAGGCAAGAATAAGGAACAAAATGATTAAATAATATTTAAATAAATTAGTTGTGTCCAAGCTAGTAGGGCCCAATGAAATTTATCTTAGAGTACTTGGAAAGTAGCTGACGTAAATCCCTAAACCATTGGATATTATCTTGAAAAGAAATCACAAAAGATGAGTAAGGCCCCAAAAGAGCCAAAGGGGGGAAAGGAAGATCTGGGGAATTACAAGCTAGTCAGTCTAACTTCGATACCCAGAAAGATACTGGAACATTTTATTAAACAATCAATTTGTGAGTAGCTATAGGATAATGTGATAAGAAACAGCCAACATGGATCTGTCAAGAACTAATCGTGTCAGACCAATCTAATTTTCTTCCTTGACAGGGTAACTGGTCTAGTGGATAGGAGGGAAGCAGAGAATATGATAGACCTTAACTCTAGCAAGCCTTCTGACACTGTCCCATCTGACATTCTCATAATGACTAGAGAAATATAGCTTAGACAAAATTAGTAGGAAGTAGGTTACAACTGGTTGTAAAACTGTACAAACATGGAGATTAATTGGCTGGGAAGGAATACTGCAAAACAAAAAATCTAAGGGATATTGTGGACCACAAACTGAATATGAGCCATCAATACGATGCTGCAGCAACAAAAGCAAATCTTTTATGGCATTATATTAATAGGTGTATCATTTGTGAGATCAGAAAGGCAATTATTCTGTTTTGCTCAGCATCACGGAGCCATAGCCAGAGTGTTGCGTACATTTTTGGACGCTAGACTTTAAAAAAGATGTAGGCAAAATGGAGATGCTATCAGAGGACAGCAACAAGAATAGTAAGTTTAGAAAACATGACCTACTAGGAAAACCTGAAGGAACTGTGTCTAGTCTGGAAAAGAGAATACTGAGAGAAGATGATAAAAGTGTTAAACTGGAAAAGTTTGTTATATGCATGATAGTGATTAAGCATTCCTATGGCCAGTGGGAGTTGAACAAGAATTTACCAGCTTGATTTGCAGCAACAGAGATTAAAGCTAGAAATTAGGAAAAAATGTCTAGCCATGACAATAATTAAACAAT